CTTTATCATCTGACAGCTGAGAAAAGAGAAAACCAAGTAACTTACAGTTACAGTGGGAGCTAATAAAAACTGTTTCCTGGTTACCTGGTTTTCTTCTGTGCTATCTATCTCTTCACTAGGCACTGCTGTGAAAACAAAACAAAATCAAAATAGTTCAAATTTTTAAAATGACATTATATTAGGTAGCTCTAAATCTCCAGAAGCTCCAGAGACACAGATTTGAAGAATGTCCAACTCTGATTAACACCTAAGTCAGATTCAGTAACTGCTATAGAGAAAACCCTACTCTCTCCACATTTGGCCTACAAAGCAAAGTTTGGACAATCAAAGCCAAAACCTCATCACTGCAATCCTAAAAGACCTACATCCTCAGAGCCTCCCTCAACAGACCAAAAGATTACCTGTAGTGCTTCTTTTATGGTTTTGTTTTATTCCAAATACACGTTCCATTCAAGAGACTACGAGTAACAGAATTTAGTTCATGAATTTGAGCCTGCATCACAATGTGAGAAATCCCCAAACATAAAAATGATGTTCAGAAGGAACTGAGTAGGCTTAACATAGCAAAGAACATGTCACAAAGCTTTCTCTAAATGAATTTGAGTCACAGAATTACTGTGGTTTGGGAGCTGAAAGGGATCTTTCAAATTGCAAGTGTTTTCTAAACTTTGGGTCATGACTCAATAGAGAGCCATAAAGTTTATATAGTGTGCTTCACAGTTTTAAAAACAAGAACAAAATTTAAAATATCATGATATATTTTACTTGGCAAATGCAAGGATTACTTGTTATATATATATATATATATATAAATGAGTTTATAAATGTATATGTATCTATAGTATGTTTCTCAGTTTCCTGAGTCTTAATGATAAATGTATTTCTTACTTGAATCATGGTAAAAATAATAGTACATAAATTGAAAATCACAAGTCAAATAAAACCTCTGGATTTTATATTTGACAGAGAAAAAATAAAACTCAGAGAAATGAAGTATCTTGCTCTGGTGGTTAATGTAAAGTGAGAATCAAAACATGGAAAATCAGTTTTATACTTCATTATAAGGGCATAATTTACTTTTATTTTCTAAGTAGAACTATTTCTAGATTCATTCAGTTATGACTATTAAATATATTTCATTAGTATATCAAAAGAACATAATAAATTTTACAATTGCATTTCAAGGCAGGCATTAATTATCACTTGCTACAGTTAATGCTAGTCTTAATAGAATTCTGTATATCAACTCTAGACAGACAGTTAATCTATGTGTTATTTTAAAGATTTTCAATGTCAACAGATACATTAAGAACTTCAGGAAAGACACTGGGATCATAGTAACAAATTTAATTTTTTGAAGAAAATAAACCTATTTTTAATAAACAAGAAGTTTTAATATTATAATTTGCTTTATTGCATGAAAAGACATCAGTAACTATATTTTTCTTGATAGTTCGCCAATGTGTCTCTATCAAAACTTGGTTTTGAATATTAAATACATTTTCTAAGAGAAGATTGTACAATGTGAAATAAAATATGCATTGGGCATGGTAGGGTATGCCTATAATCCCAGCTACTCAAGAGCCTGAGAAAGGATAATTGCAAGTTGAAGGCCTGCCTTGGCAACTCAGCAAGACTGTCTCAAAATAAAAATAAACACAAACAAAAAATAAAATACAGGGATGTGGCTCAGTGCTACAACCCTTGCCTAGCATATGTTGGACCATAGGATCAATCACCAGTACATAAATAAATAACATAACATAAAAGTTTTTTTTTAAAGTTTTATTATGTTTCCAAATAATGATGCTTCTACATATTAAAATTTTGAATAATAGAACAAAGTATTTAAGCTTTATGGGTATTTTTATTTTCATAGGCAAGAATTATACTAATAATAGGTAAATATTTTTTAAATAATACAGATTTTGTTTGCAGACCTCATACATTCCAGATAAGGATCCTATTTCTAGAAACTCATGAACCAATGATTTTTTCAACTTTGACTATAACGACATTGATCAAGTCTTTTGCAGTATTGATGTACACTGTTTTATAAACATAAATTTAATATTAATGCTTTTGTTCTTCAATATTAAAGTCTAGTTTTTAAAAATTTTACTGGTTTGTCCAGCTCAGTCATAGTACTCACTGTATTTTGCTCTAACATCTATTTCCAAGAGCAATTTTAAATAACAATAAAATAATTTTTTAAAAAAATAATTATTTATAGTAAATAAACCTGCTGTGGAGGGTGGGGCTGATATTTTCGAGCATAAGATAGGCTTGCTGAACATGACACCAAAGCTAGAACTTGCCGTTCCTCCCTTGCCTTTTGCTGATGAGTAGAGTAGTTGTTTCACTCTTGAATACTGTTACCATTCCTCTGCTACCTTAACAGACAAAACTTTTTGTAACATTACCATTTCGATTGGAGGAAGGTAGTTTAAACTTCTACATATACTGTACTCTGTGGCTAACTGCTGTCCTGAAAAGAAAACTCAATACAAGTGTTTCTAAGGATACATTGGTCTGTGTTCCACTTGAATTCATACAAATTTAAAGTCTATCCAGTTTCTAGATCTCCTGAGTTGCCTCTCAAGAAAGTGAGAAGCAAAAAAATAAAGATATGGAGCTCTTCCCTCACTTGAAAAATGACTACCTAGTTTTAAATTCATTCTTATTTTCTCTTCTATTATTTGCTTAAGATAGATACTATACCAACTAGAATGGTTAGTTAAGAAACAGCAGGAAGTTACTACATATTTCTTAAAAATAGAAACTTTAAAAATTTCATTAATGACTTTGCAAATTGTAATTTTTATACTTGATAAAGGGAAGGTATAACAGACATCCATATGTACTGCCACAAGTGACATAAACTGCTACCATCATTTGAAAAAGTCCAAACTTCAAAATATTTGTGATTACCTTGATCCAGGAATTTAACTTTCAGGAACTAGCATAATGCAATGTGTAATTAAAAAAATAGACAAACATGTAAAATGTTCATTACAAGCTCATTTGTAATAAGAAAGAAATGGAGATCGCATCCATCTACAGTGACTGGAAATTGGTTAATGAAATGGTAGGTTATTCATTCAATAGATTACCACAGAAGGATGAATAAATATGCCATTGAAATTAATGTATCCAAGCGAAGAAAAAATGTTAGCATTGTTGTTATCTCTTGGTGTGTGGGGGTCTCTAGGAGACTTTCAACTTCTTCACTCCTTTTCATATTTTTCAAATTTCTTTCAGTAAATCTTTAATTTTACAAAGGTCTTAACAACTGATTTGCTAGTAGTGTGGAGGAAAGTTTAAAAATACCATTCAGTACAGATGAAATTTAATGCTCTCTTTTGTATGATGGCAGCTTCCAAATATTTTCACCTATATTCGCCTTCCATGTATACAAAACTGTGGAAAGAGCCCAAAGAGGTGTGTCATTCAAACTCCCCTTTCTTCCCAAAGAAAATTCCCCGATAAGGTCACCACATTCTCATTTTATTAGGCACTTCCATGCAAGCTCTTTTGTAATTATAATTTGTTCTTTGGAAGTTCATATGTCCCTATCTGCTTTTACCTGTCTCTTCACTGTGCAACACATATCTTTCACTAACCTTCTTTCACTTCTTCACTATTCCTATGATCCAGAGAGCATGTAAAATGCTTTGCTCTTGAGAGTTACACAAAGTAAGCTTTATTCATACTGATAATTGATCATAAAGTTTCCACTGCAAATGATTTCTGTACAGCGTCATTAGCCAACCAGTGCAATACTCAGGTGGTCTATAGTGTCACACAATTCATTCAGGACGCTCTGGCTGTTGACTCTCAAGCTCTGGCAACCTTAGTACCATTTCAGGAGCTACCTCTCTTTGGAAAGCAGTGCTCCGCCTTTCTGAGTAGAAATCAGACATCACATTCCCAGAGCGCTGTAACTAGCCCTCTACAGTAGAGAGCTTGAGGTCACCGGAGTGGACTTCAAAAGCACTCCAACGCAAACACCAGGGCAGGCTTCCTGCTGGTCACTACAAGAGTTGTCAAGGACATCTGTTGGGAGCTTTCTGATTTTACAACCTGGTCTTTCCATAGCTTCCATGGCTGCTCTTGGCTCTCTCTTTTCATTTTTTTGTCTTTCGCCCAACAGTAGCACCAAAGGCATTAATCATTTTTTGAATTAAATCGGCACTTACAGCTTGCCCTCTCCCTGGGCCAATGAAAGTCTGTAATTTGGGTCCTTCTTTTTGAAAAATTCCTGTGCTGCAAAATATTTTAAAGGGAATCTAGCTAGCAGGAAAATACACAGGTGTGACAAAATACAGCGGGGAGATCAGGTAGAGGAAGCTGGCCGCGTGGCACCGGATTGCAAATCACAATGATGGTAAGAGGAAGACGTGCGAAAACTGGACGGTAGAATGAAGCCCAAACTCAGCAAACTCTTACGCGCAAGCGCGTCGCTCACTGCGCCGGCTCCCCAGGCCGCACCGTGGCGCCTGCGCACAGAATCCGGGAGCGGCGGGGAGAGGACCCGAGCTCCGCATTTTGCTCCCTCCTCCCCCGGTCCGGTCCCTCCGCCCCCCCTGCCCTCAGCCTGCGGGCTCCGACCCCTCCAGCTGCTCGCCTTCCCAAACAAGCCGGTGCCCGCTGCCGCTCTCCGCCTATTGGCTGTTGGTCTTTTCCGTTTCCGCCCAGCCCTCCACATTCCACCAATCGGGCCGTACGTTTGGGTAAGGGTCCACCTCCGAGACTGTCGCTTCGGCTCCTCTGCCTCCTGCGGTTGCTGCCTCCTCCTTCCCCACCTCCTCTGTCCGGGAGAGTCCGCGGGGGCCTGAGGGGCGGC